CCTCGCCCGGCACAGAGACGCACAGGGTGACTGGCGCCGCCCGTGGGACCTGGACAAGGCCAAACCCACGTGGGTGGCAGGGCTGGGTTAGCTTGCTGGGCTGACATGCTTATGGGGCTGGGGTGCGGGAACTGTGGGTGCTGCTTGGAGGGAAAGGGCCTTCCTGGGCCCTCTGGTCAGACCCTGAGCTCAGGGCTCTGTGTGGGCACTGGCTCAGCCTTTTTCTTGAACCCTCCGTCTTTCTGCTGCCCTCAGTTCTGGGACTGGGACTGGGGGAAGTGGCATCACTGGGGCCTGCTGCAGCATCTGTCCACCCTGCCCAACCTGACTCTCTCCTTTTTCACAGGCTACAAGACCACAGCAAGTCCATTGACAAGGGCCCAGCTGGGGGCAGCAGAAGGGGTGAGCCAAGACCTGCCTTATTCTTCCTACTTTGGCTTTTTTTGTTTGTTTGTTTTTCCTCTTGAGACATGGTCTTGCCATGTAGCCCAGGCCAGCCTGGAGCCTGCGATCCTCCAGCCCCTGCCTTCTGAGTGCTGAGATTACAGGCATGTACCACTATACCCAGTTGTGCCTTGGCTCCCCCTCCCCCTGCCTTTTCTCTGTCTCTTGATTTCCTATTTGTTTTCAGAGGTCAAAAGAGGCATGGGAGAATATCATCCTCCCTGTCCTTTCTTGCCCACACTATTGGAGCGCTCCTTCTGCCCTCCAAACCACAGCTCTTGCTGGGATCAGTGGAAGCCTGTCCTGGGGTCTTTGGAGACCCTGATATTTATTGAGTGAAAGTCTTAGTGGCTCCCTGGCCTGCTGCAGGAACAGCCCTTGTTCTACTTACAAAGAAGCTGGGGACCCCACAGGCTGGTCAAATTGCCTAGCCTAGGAGTGGCAAGACAAGATCTCCTCAGGCCAGGGCCTGAGGAAAAATCCACAACTGAATAAGAACTAGTAGCTTCCTGGTGCTAGAAGAACCTGTGTTTCTGCTTCAGATCCTTTATCACCATACCCTTTCCCCATTTCCTTTGTTCCCCTTTAGGTCCCAGGACCCACCGGAAGCTACACCCTCCACCATTGTCCCCTGATGGAAAAGGTGAGTTAGGGGAGGAAGAGGGGCAAGGTCCCTCCAGCTGAGTTGCATTGGCCCTCTTTGCTCCTTGATTTGTGCATGTCTTGCAGGTCATGGTGGACAGCCTGGCAGACCCTCAGTGGTGCCGGTCACAGGCAGTAAAGCCCAGGGAAAGGAGAGGCTGACTGGCAGGGCCCGAAGGTAATAGGTGGCAGGGGACAAAATCAAGGCAGGCATCTAAGCATCTTGATTTCCTGGACCGGCCCAGGTCCAGGTGCCTGCTCTGTCCCCGGGGCCCCTGCCTCCTGACTGCCTGCTGCCTGGTGCAGGTTAATGAGACACTGAGAGAGGCCACCAACAGAGGCAGCAGTAGCAAGAGCCTGGTGCCCAGGGAGGCCACAGTAATTACAGCAACTCCCTTCCCCCGGGAAGTGAGGTGCGCCTTTCCCAGGCAGCACAGGCAGGGACCTGCCTGGAGTCTCCCACAGAACTCAAGGTGCAGCAGGCTTGGCCATAAACAGCAGCTGGGGACCCAGGATAAGGCCAAGGTGGGTGGTGTTCAGAGCAAATGGTTGGGTTTGGGGAAGGGGGTCAGGCTGGGAAGGAAGCATCCTAGAGCTTCATTCTGGCTCCAGTCCTGCTCTGAGATCATTGGTTTTAGCTTCTCCCTGGAGAACATGGGCTACCGTCTATGGAGGGGTAGACAGGGGGCCTGCCATGCACTGTGTTTCTGCAGGTGGGACCTGAAGGAAGACAAGGAAGAGCTGCAGAGTCATGAGGTGGGTCTTTGGGTACAGGATGGGACAGGCTGGGGACACAAGACTTGCTTCACCAGCCAGCTGGGCTATTCTCTTGTTTTAGGGAAGCCAGAGCCCCACAAACACTCCCAGTGCCGAGGAAGAACATGGGCAGAAGCAAAGAGAGACGGACCCAGGAAGACCAGAGATGACCCCAGTCACCAAACCAGTCCTGGCATCCCCAGAAGGGCTAAGAGAGGAGTCAGGAGCCTCAACAGCCAGTTCAGCCCCTGACTCTCCACAGAAACCTGACTTGGTGCCCCTTGACCTGTCTCTAGGAGGAGCCAGCAGCTCTAGGCCTAGAGAGAGTATGTGTGTGCTCAGTCCAAGGCCTGGGGCCCAGGAAAGTCCGGTGTCCTGGCCAGATGGTTCGGAGCAGCAGCCCCTGAGGTGGAATGATCACCAGTTTGGTCTGGAAGTCCAGACTTGTGCTGAGCCACAGAGAGAAGCAGGGGCCTCAGAGCCCAGAAAGGACAGGGATGGCAAGGCAGGGGCCCAGCAGAGTCTGGCACCAAGAAGCAGGCACCACAGAGGAACAGGCCAAAGGGTGAGAGGCACAGGTGTGAGGAGCAGGACAGGGGGTCCTGGTCCTGCAGGAAGGTGCTGAGCCAAGCTATGGCAGCTAGGGAGAGAGGCTGGGCAAAAGAAGGGGGAGAACTGCCAAGCATCTTCTGTGTGATTGGTGTCTGGTTACTGGTGATTTGTGCCGTCTGGCTGAGCAATGTGGCAAACTCTCCGGCAGGGCTACCTTATGAAGACAAGAAGTGACTCTTTTCCTACACTCCTGTGCCCATCCCTGTGCCCATGAGGGTTTTCATGTGCAGAAATGGCCTTGGTTTTCTGCCAGGCTGGTATCCCTGACTTGGGCCTACTGCTGCTCAGGGCGAGAACAAGACTTGACCCAGCACCTGAATCTTTTCCTCTCCATCAGCTCTCAATGCCAGGCTCCCTCTCCAGCTGCAGGATTCCTGCTCCTCAGATGCACACAATTTCAAAGCTGGCATGGCCAATTCAGGCCCAGGCCTTTCCTCATGTTCCTGCCTTTTACCTGAGTGAGTCACAGTCCAGGACTCCCAGGATGGCCAAGCCAGAGAGAATTTTTATAATCACCTGCCAGCTTTCTGGCTCTCCTGAGAAGGTTGAGGCCCAGTGAAAGGGAGGTGTCACTGCTGGGAGGGACTAGGTTAGGAGGAGAAGTGAAAAGGAGGTATCTGGAAAGGCCTCCTCTCTGAAATGGGGAGACTCCTTCTGTCCCCAAGCAGGATAAGAGTACACTAGCAGGCGGTCCCTTCCTCCACACCCAGGCCAGACACCACATGTGCCTAGAATGGAGACGAAGGCCTGACCCTGCAGCCCAGGGTCATTTCCTGCCCTCTCCAACTTCCCTTTCCCCACCTCCCCCACACCAAGGCAAAAGCAAGGACTCAGACAGAGATAAAGACTAGGAAACAGAGGAACAGTGGCTCCAGCTAAGTATGGCATCAGTACTGGTCTTTCCCACTTAGTCTCCGTTTCAGCCCCTCCCCTGAGGCCCCCGTCTGGTGAATTATCCAGACTCTGCACAAGCTGCACTTCCTTTCAATTCAACAAACACTTCCTGAGCACCCTCCACCAGTAATCCGGCCGGTGGGCGACAGTGACTCTGTCAGTGAGAGGGAAGGAGGAAACGCCTCATCCAGCAGCTCCAGGCTGAACAGCAGGATCTGTTCATGGCTGCGGGTGCCTGGCTAAACTGGGGGCAGGATGGCCGTAGGAACCCAGGAACTCAGGGGACCCACCCCACCTTGTACTCCTCTGTTTTCATATGACAAGTGCCCTTTGCTCCCAAGCCCTTGCCTGGGTCTCGCCATGCCGCCCCTTCTGCCTACCTCCTCTCTGCAAGCTCTCCTCTGAGGCTCTAGGGAGAGTGCAGATCATACATAGGCTGACCCCATGGTTCCACGGGAGGCTTGAACTGTGGGCTTCATTTGAGCTTCCTCACTGGCTCCTGGCCCTGCCCCGTCCCCCTAATCAGGCATCTCTTCAGCAGACTGTTTAAAAAAGTCTTCTCGTGCTTTCATGTGGAGTTGTTCAGATTCAAATGTAGTAGGTCAGGAGGGCCTGAAAGCTTGCGTTTCTGGTAGGTCCAGGTGAGGGTGGGTTCCTGGACTGACCCTTTGAGTGGTTGGGATCTAGACTAGAGTGTGTGGGGGGCCGGGGCTGAAGGCAGGCCCTTGACTCTAAGCCCCAGTTGCTGGCTATGACAGCGGCTGGGGGATAGGGTGGGACTTCCTGACTTCACAGTCAGGTGGGAAGATGCTTCTGAGAACAGTGAGTGGTGGAGCCAATTCCCCATAGCGCACCAAGAGGAAGCTGGCCAGGGATGCAGCAGGGATTCCATGGAACAGGTTCAGGAACAGCTCTTACTTCAGGTGTCTCCATATATGATTGGGATCAAGAATTTGAATTCTGCGCTGGGGGTAGACCCCATGCTCAGCTTGTGTAAAGGCCCAGAGTACAATCCCCAGAATGAGAGAAATGAGAGAGAGAGAGAGAGAGAGAGACTCACAATCTGTTTCTAATCCCCCAATGCTGCCAAAGTACAGATGTGCCTTCCATTAAGTGATGTAGGCTGAGGCATGTTTAACCTTGGGATGAAGATGTAGAGTTGGGCAGAGGTCTGGTTCAGCTCTTATAAAGGGATCTAAGCAGGAGGGAGAGCTGGACAGAAGGGCTGTGAGGACATGGTGCTTCCCTGTGTGGGTAGCATCCAAAAGGCTCTTGGGAGGAAGGTTAGTCTAGAGGTTGGAGAGAATGGAGTATGTTCATGGCAGGCAAATAACAATGAGCTTTTCCAGAGAAAGGACAACTCTTCTCTGACATAAGGGAAGTCACGGCTATGGTGGCCATCCCTCCTGCTCTAGCTTTGGAGCAGAAGCAAACTATAGCTGGCACCCCACCACAGACCACGGGGCCACGAGAACTAGTTCTATCTCTTCCTGTCTCCTTTGTCAAAAGGCTTCGTTGATTGCCTCCCCGTTGGAAGGTCTTCATTAAACATAGCTATCAGGGACCCAGATCCATGGCTGGAGCAGATGAGAAAGGCGAGCACACAGGAATAGGTAGGAGCTGGCAGGGAGAGGACAGGCATCTTACCGAAGGTCTTGAAATAAGGAGGGCAGAAGAGGCAGAAGCCTCTATCCCAGGCCCTTCTTACCTTGGCAGAAGGGAAAAGCAGATCAAGCTTCAACAAAGGCAGGAGTTTTGATGACACGCCACATGGTAGAACGGAACAAGCTAGGCCTTGGAATCTGAGACTAAATCTGAGCCCTAGGCCTGCCATCTATCAGCTGGGTGACTTTGGCCAACTTTAACCTCTGAGCCTCAGTCTCCTTATGTGCAAAATTAGGCTAGTAATACCTCCCTTAGAGTATGTAAGATATACCTCACACACAGTAGACACTCTGCACAGAAGGCACTTGGTGGATATATTAAATAAATGAAGTGGCTGTTTGATGTGATCTGTGTCTGCTTTGTTTTCTAAGCTTCTTTTGCCTTCATCTTCATGAGGGTTCAATGCTCTCTCAAGGAAAGGAGGGATGATTTGTAGTACTCATCCATACTCTAGGACAGTTAGCTTCTTTTAATCCCCCTGGGTGGTCTAGTAGAGTTGAAAGCTTCACAAAATGTGCCTGTTTTTATAGGGAGTGTTCTCTGCCTTTACCCACTGGCTCAGTCAATTTTCTGCAAGCTGGGTCTCAAACTCAGATGGTTCCTCTTTTCTTTGGTTTATCTCAGGAGCAATCTCACAAATTCACCCCATAGTTTTTGTTTCTTTTTTCTCTTTGCTGGTACTAGGTTTTGAACTCAGGGCTTTCTAGGCAGATGTTCTACCACCTGAGCCACGCCTACAGACCAACAGTTTTTATTTCTTTAATATTTTCCCCAGAAACCAACCCTGTGTGGCGTGTGTGCTCAGAGTTAACTTCTGCCACCTGAGCAGGCAACCTGACTGCATTTTCTTATGGTCAAGGGACGGGCAGCTGGAGATCCTGGAAGCAGGGGTCCACACTTCTAACAAGGTGCAAGTTTGGAAGGTCTGACCACTAGTCAACTCCAGCCCTGACCCTGGCCTCCGGGGCAGGAACAACAGGAAGAGATGGTACTAGTCCCTAAAAAGCACCAAGAATATGGCAAAATCTCTATGGCCATATGTACTTCCTTTGGGGATTAACAAGGAGAGGGTGTTTAGAGAATAGGAAAAACTAAAGATGCCATTTCTCTTCTGTCTCTTATGTCATTTATCAGTGTCCACAGACCCCACCATCACCTCCTTCTGAGCTGGGTTTATCAGGGCTCATGAGGACGGGCTGACAGGTTGACCACTACATCCTTGCAGAGGGAGAGCTAAGGACTGGGGAAGGCAGTGAGAGGAGCCAGCAGAACGCTTGGCATGGAGGCTGCTTTCTCTCAACAAGTCTGCTAGGCCTACGTCACAGCCCTCATTAAGCAGCATCCACTTGACGCCGGGGGAATGAAATAGCACAGACCTGGCACCAGAAAGAACAAATGTGATACCCACTGCTCCTTTTAAGGACTGGCTTGAGAAGCAGCAGGCCCCAGGGCAGGAGGTGAAACAAACACACCAGTACCTTTGAAGGAGAGGGAGGGGGGACTCTCAGGCCTGCCTCCTTCTTAACAAGCTCTCCAGGGCAAGTTCTCCTGAAACTGTCAAAAATATTGGACAATGTAGGCTTTTTCCCTTCTTTTACAATCTCTGGGGACATAGTGTTTTCTCTTCCCCTAGCAGGGCAGCTGGCTTCAATGAAGCAAAAGGGGTCAAAAGTCACCTTGATAACCAGCTGTCAAAACAGAAATATCCTAACCCTAAGTTAGAAAATCAGAGGGAAAAAGGCTGGGCTGGTGGTTCCCGACTTCAGCACACAGCAGAATCACCTGGAAGGCTGGCTCAACAGGGCCCGACTCCACTTCCCTCCAAGCTCGCGCAGTTGATCTGGGATGGTTAAGGTCACAGTTCCCAGTTGATGCTGTTGGTCTGGAAGCAGTGTCTTGTTCACTACCTGCTCCTTCACGTTTCTTTCCCTGCATCATTTTTCCCCAAAAGGACAGATATTATTCTGAACATCTCCAAGCCCTTTCACATTTATTACCTCTATTTGCTCTCATGAAGACCCATTTGGGTGGCAGGAGAGAGAGGGAGAGAGAGGTCAAATTCCTAACCAATGCCACTGTTGAGTCTCCAGGTTTCCTCTCTTCTGGTTCAGGGACCCTTTCTGAGAAGACACTGCATCCCTACTCAGGTCCTAGTGATGCTCAGTGGCCTACAGCTAAGTAACTGGTTGCCGTTACTCAACACTGCCCAGGCTGCCAGCAGGGAGCTGAGGGGACAGATGGTCTCCAGAACTGACACAAATTAGGGGACACCTTCACTAAGACAGTGAGCTTTAGGGATGGTGGAGTGGCTCAAGTGGTAGAACACCTGCCTAACAAGAGTGAGCCCTGAGTTCAAACCCCAGTACTGTCAAAAAAACAAAACACAAAACAAAACAAAAAGACTTTGCGCTTTGAGGAAGCAGAGAAAGATATATTTAAAAGGAAATCCTTGTTGATTCAGACAATTGCTTTTCTGGGACAATTAGTTTCAGAAATTTTGAGGTTCATTTGGCACACTGTAGGCACCAAATACTTCTTGAATTAATGGTAGTGGTTTATGGAAAATATTCCTAAGATCTTAGTTAGAGTCTTATTGCAATATAACTGATAAGCTCTTGCAAAACCAGATCACTGAAATGAAGAAAACAGGGCAGTTTAGCAAGGAAAGTCTATGGTGAGCATGACTACAAAAGCCAACAACTGTGTATTGATTTTCTGGTCCCTTCCTAGTAGCTTAACTAGTGTTTCTAGAGCTGAATGGTGCATGGGCAAACTGGCTTACTGACCAGGTAAGTCCACTGGGAGCCAAGACTGTTTTTGATCAAGGATGGAAAGCCTGGTAGAGTCTGGGTGTGTGGCAAAGACAAACTGTTTGTTTGTTTAATTTGCTACTGGAGAGAACAAAAAGCATAACACAGGCTTTCTGGCAGCAGAAAACCACAGGCTATGTCTGCAAGTGAAATAGATGTGACCAAAAAAACTGTCAACAGAGCAGCTATTTTTATAGGTCAATGTTAGGCTGGGATAGAGAAGAGAATGAATGGATCAGATGGCCTGGTTGCGACCCTTAAGCACCGCATGGAATGCAGTTTTGGACTTTTGGCACCTGGAAAGAAGAGTAAGGCCAACCCTGAATCCATTGACTGGAACTAAAGAAAGGAGGCCAGAGAGGTCAGTGGCTAGGATTTGCCAGGGCCCCGTGACCATATTGTTCACCATGGACGCAGGTACACAAGTGGATTGTGACAGGGATACCACAATGACACGAGGACCAACATGGTGGTCATCTAGGTGATCAACAAACTCTGAGCACCTACTACACTGTGCCAGGCATTGAGGGAGACCAAGAGAGCAAAAGTGGAGCTGAGGCCCTTTTGCTACTGCCTAGCAAATTCCTGCAATTCCCTGCAGACAGGAAAGGGAGGACAATTATTACCCTTTTAAATAGCTGTGATACCTCTAAAGCTCGGACCTTAAAGAAACATGTAGGAACAAGTAGATGTTCTGCATTCAGCATTTCAAAACAAGATATAAATACTTGATTAAAGAACACACTATCTGAGAATTCCCCAGTGAAAACTGAAAAACAAGGTAGATAGAAAAGCTTCCAAAGCCATGTCGAAATCTACAGCTGTTATGAAGAGAAGTATTTCTTACGCTTAAAGCTTCAGAGAAACACTTCTTTGTATCAATGCAGGAAAGAGAAGATACCTTCAACCAAGCTCAGTACAAAGGGCTCCCCGACCCCATAACCTCCTAAACTGTCACTTTCCAAAGAGTATTCTCTCTTCCTTCCAATTCACACTGCCAGGGAATAAAGGCATACAGTAACTTGCAATATAAGCCAACATCTAGAAATGGCCCTGGGAAGTCTCAGTGCAAAGGAGTGGAAGGAAAGAACCCACCCCTTCTTTGTACAGGACCTTCTGGCTTAAGCTTCTTTCTAACATTTGCCAAGAAAGCTATTCTAACCACTGACCCCGGCCAGCCAGGCCATTCTAATCAGCCAGCAGGCTCCTGCTGTACCTACTGCTGTCTGTGCTCAATGTGTGAAGCCGTGTGCAGCTGTAGAACCACATGTCACCGTGTGCAGAAAGGAGGGGCTGACTCAAAGAGCCTGGAAACTCTTTCACTCCCCTTATGCTCTGCCTTACCAAGCCTTCTCACAGAAAGTCATTGTGTAGGCTGAAGAGGGAAATAAAGGAAGGGCGGACTTTCTTCATGCCTCCCTGCAGACTATGCGGTGATGTAAAAGCACAGTGGCTACCCCCCAACAGCTCTGATGAAGTGCAGGCCTCAGGGGGCCCCACCAACACTGGCTTCTCCCTCGAGATTTATACTGGGCAGCATTGTCTGATAATGAGCTGAGCTCAATTGCTTACCATGTATTTTGTAGCATAACTAATCCCTTATATTTGTGCTTTTCACCCACATGTCTTTTTTGTTTGCTTTGAGAGGAGAAAAAAACCCTCACCTTTGAGGCAACCTACACCTCTCAGCAGCTTGGCTCCATGGTGCAGAAGTTTGTCCTTCCCAGGGTTAGCACTTCCTGAGTGGAGGCCAGCAGTTTAAAGGTGGTAAAAGCCAAAAGCCATGCCATCGCAGGACTTCGCTCACCTCAGCGCTCAGACTGCTAAACGTCTGTCATAAAATCCTCATATTCACACTTATTGGTCCGTTAGCTGGGTAGCTGCAGAGAGTCCTCAAAGCAGGTTTTGGTTTTTTTCCAGCCTTTTTAAGGTTGGCAAAAGGTGGCTGGGCTACATATCACTGTTCTTCCGACCCCACAATGGCGTCCTGACTAAGATGGATCCTGTCACTCTTCACTAATCTATTCAGCTGAGCCATCTGCACCCACCAGCAGCAAAGCAATTGCTTTTTCCTTAGACCCATTCATCACCGCCATCTACCACATCTCAGACCACTGCTACTGCTTCTCCATAAAGTCATAAGAGAAAAAAATCACTTACGCAGGCTTAGGCAGAGTTCTTAGAATGTATTTTTGTTCACCTGAAAAATAAAACTTTTAAAAAATAGACAGGACTTTTTGAGTACAGGTATATCTTGAATGGCTGAATTATAAATAACGTCTCTGGTCATGTTCACAGCTAGGGCTGGTACGAATGTTCCAATTCCAGTGAAGGCTTTAGTCAGGAGGCCAGCTGGACCCACTAGTGGTCTTGCTAGACTCTTTGATTCATCCCAAAGTGGATTTAAACAGTCCAGAAAGCAGGGGAGAGGGGGCTGGACTCCCAGATGTTCTTTTGAGTCCAAAGGATTCTTGGAATAAGAGATCAATTTATAAATTATTAAAATATAGGACTAAAAATTCACACAGTAAATATAAATTACAGACTATTATTGAAGTTATAAAGTGGCATTTTATGTTTTATCCCCCAGTCTCTCACCAAAAATTTAAAAAGGCCTTATGGGCATCTTAATGACCGACGTCTTAGCATGCTGCTAAGAAATGTCCTCTAAACCCAGAGACAATGGGGGTGTCACTAGCCTGCCAGTAGGCTGTGACAGCTCAGTTGCTATTTTCTTGCCCACATCAGGACATGGCTTACAGCAAGACTGTTTTCCTGTAAACTTGGATCACAACTAACTACAGTGTCTGCCAGAAAACTGGAAAGTTACTGTTTCAGGACTCAGGTGGATAAGTTTTCTGTTTTCTCTATTTTTTTTTAAATGCCTCATTTCCCAAAAAGGAAACACTAAGGGGTTTGATATCTTGTCACTACCCACACTCAATTGCCTAAAAGCAAGTGGCAGAAGGAAATGGAATCCAAATTGAGGAAGTGTAATTCTTGCTGCCCCAGAGCTATACATATGTCATTTCCCTTGATGTCTGTCACCTCCTTTATAAAATTGCAGGCCACAATCTTTAGGAAAGATAAAAGACAGACCAATTCAACTTTCCCATGGCTGGTCCCTTAACTGGCTACCAAAGCCCAATCCTGAGATGAAGCCCACCTTCTGGCCCTTCCGATTCTGCAGTGTAACTCAAAGCTAGAGGACACGATCAAAGCTCTGCTTGTACAACCGATTTGTCCTACCTATCCATAGGTGCCTTGTTATGGACACAGGGAAGAGGGAAAGCAAAGATGAACAGGACAAGCTGTTGAGGAGCGAGAGATAAAATAAGGCAGGATCTGGAACTAGATAAGAACTTGAGGAGCAGGAAAAAAAGATAAAACACTTGCCAGCTACTCTTACAAAAGCTTGCTCTTCCTAAAGGAACTGTGTGAGGGGAGGCCAGGATTGAAGCACAGCTGCCTTGCTCTTTCTCATCCATGGTCCCTGGTCCACATCCAGACACTCCCGCCTGCAACAGGAAGCCACTTTGGTGGGGGCATTAGGGTGGGAACACCAGGGTATCCACACATTCCCCACCCTCCCTAAACTACTTCTGCTTCTCCCAAGGTTTTCCACTGTCATGTCAACAGTCCAAAAATGATTATACTCTTGTGAAAGAATGTCATGAACCTATCTTTCTGAAATAGAAAGGGAACAGGGGAAAGAGCAAGTGATGAAAAAGCCGTGTTTGTGCCCTTCTGGCTAGGTGCACTTTGGGGGCCAGCAAATAGCCCTTGCTGGTCCCCCTCAGTCAGTAGCTACCCAGTCTGTGGGAGGATACATAGATTTCAATGTGATTATAGCTTCTAGTGCATATGTCAACAACTATATACAGGGATCTATAAATTAAACGCATGTCTGGCCACTGCAACTAGGTTGACATACCTGAGCTCCACTACTTTTGGTGCCCTCTTCCTTTCGAGAGCTTCAGCTTATTAAAAAAGAGCCCCTACAGCTCCCTCCTTCCCCTGAGTCTTGTGGGGGGGGGAAGCCCAAGTTACCCCCTGCATGTAGGATACACCAGAGCGAGCAGTGCAGAGGGTTCGGCGTTAGGATCTCCCCACCCTCCCCCATTCCCCTATGGCTCAGGGCCCTGCCGCAGCACGGTCCTGGGAAGACCAAACCCCGAGTCCCCAGCGATAGGAATCATGGTTCCTTGGCTGAAGATCGGGCTGCGGGTTCCCAGGTCCCGGGGCGAGCTGGCGATTGTAGGCGTGGGGGAGGTGGGGTGAGGGGTTCCCCTCTCGTTGGGGTCACTCCCGCGGACTCCCCGCCCCGTCTGTCCTGCTGCAAAGTCCAGCCTCCGGGCTTGGGGAGGTTGATTCCCGGCCGCCCCCGGAGCGGAGAGGTTCAGCGAGTCCCGGGCGCCGCCGCCGCGTCTTCCTCGTCCTCATCCGGCCCCCGAGGTCGCTCGAGCGGCCCGGCCAGGGGGCTGTCGGCTGGGGATTCGGGGGGCGCGGGCCGCGCCGCCTGCAGCGGGGGCGCATCGCGCGGCGCCTCGCGGCGGGACGACCGGGTGGTGTTGGGCCCCGCCGCCCCCGAAGTCCCCGACGGGCCGGTGGCGTTGGAGCCGCCGGGAGGCGGGCCCGCAGCTCCCCCCGAGGTCCCGGCGCCCACCGGCTGCCAGATGAGGCTGTAGTAGACGGCGAGCACGATGGCGGCCAGCGACACGGAGAGCACGTAGGCGAACACGGTGGCGAGCCGGACCCACTTCTTGTTGGTCTTGGCCGCCATCTTCGCCTTCTTGTCCCCGGTGTAGGTGGCCGGCTTGCCCCGCTCGGCCGGGGCCGCGTCGCGCTCCTTCATGGGGGGACCCCGGCCTTTGCCCCGGTGCTCCACGGCCCCGGCTGGAGGGGGCCTGGCGGCCTGCGAGGACTGGGCAGGGGGCGGCCCAGCGCCCTGGGCTCCCGGCGGCTCCGGGCTCCGCCGCCGCTGCTCACGCCGCCCGCCCGCAGCCCGGCACCGCGTCGCTGCAAGCCGCTGCCGGGGCCTGGGCCGGTCACCGCCGCCAGCGCCGCCGCCGCCGCCGGCCCGTCAGCTGCTTCCCCGCCGCCGCCACAGCCACAGCCACCACAGCTGCCCGGCTCCGCGTCCCCATCCGCTGCTGCCGCCGCCGCCGCCTGCCCGGCCGCCGGCCGCCCGGTCTCCAGTGGCCGCGCGGACCGCGCGCTCGGCTCCAGCCCGGCTCCCCCGCCTCGCGCGCTGGCAACAGGGGGCGGGGGGAAAGCGCTGCTGGGGGCTGCCTCTTAAAAGGGCGACGCCGGGGTGCGGAAGTGCCGCGCGGGGAGGCGGGCTGCGGTCGGGCGCCGCGAGCCCCGCGGGAACGCCCAGTTTAAGAGAGAGTTAGGGGAGGCTGGTTCTTAAAGGGGCGACGTCGCCGCGGCCCTGCGCGGGTTGGCGCAGCTTGGTCCCGAGCCTCCAGCGCTTCTTTAAAAGGGGAAAGGCGCTGTGCAGGGCGGAGTGCGGAAATGAAAGGGGGGCGGGGAGGGGCGGTGGGAGCGTGGAGCTGTCAACTCTGCCCCGGGCTCCGCCCCGGGCTCCGAAGTGACTGGTGGAATAGCAGCCCCGGCTTTGGCCCCCAGGCCTCTGAAGTGGGGGTGATACCATACTCATTCTCTGGGTTCGCGTTTCATTCCTCGTACCTCTCTGGCTCACATCTGGGCTAGGCCGTCAAGGAACCTGGAGAGCGTACTGACGCCACAGTTGGTTGCCCTCTTTCTCACCAGGCAGGCTGGGCTTCCGAAATCTGCTAGAAGAGCTAAGAGGAGTCCCATCCTCTTAGAGGCCCGGAATTAGGTTGCCCTGAGAGTCTGGGGCAGAGCCAGTGTCTGAGTTTGTTCTCCAGACACCCTTGCTTACTTAGTCCCAAAGTTTACAACAGGTCCCAGGTCCGCTTTCTGGTCTTCCAACTCCAAGGTTTGGCCTTGATTTGTACCCAAAGGGCTGCATTGAATCGGTGCTCTCCAGCGTTTTCCCTCTTTGATCCTCTTTCTGCCTCAGGGCCTAGGAGGTCGTCCCCTTCCCAAGTGAGGTTGCTCCTCTTTGGCTTCTGCCCAGGGGCCAAGACTGGCTTTGTGCTTACTCTTTGGGCCCGAGGTGCTGACAACCCTTCTTCATGCTGGGATTTTCAGTAACCACTTTCCCTGTGCCTTCCCCTCCTTGTACCCTCCCCTTTCGCTCTTCTCCTCCTCATTCTCTCTCTAGAAGGCTTTCCAGAATTTCTGCACCCCCCCCCCCTTGAATCTTACTTCCTGTGTTCCCAGAATTGGCTGTTTGGACCGCCTGGGTGTCTGAATGGGTGAGACAGATTGCCTGGGGGAGGGGGAGGACAGGTCCTGATAGGGTCTGTGGGGGAACCCTTCCTGTGGCCTCTGCAAGTGTGAGCCTGCCCTAGTTTCTGACTCTGTGGAGTAGGAGCCTCTCTGCTCTTCCCACTTCCTCTCTTTCTACAGGAAACTTTGCCTTCCAGACTCTCCCATCTTTAGGAATCCCCTCCACTACTGCCCTACCACTCCTGAGACAGACTTCAAGAGCTCTTTGTGCTGATGGGTTGCTGGAACCACAGGCTTTAACCCAGCCCCTCAGTCAGTCCTGATGGAGGCTCAGGTGTGGCTCTGCCACTAGCGATGGCCAGCTGGATGCTATTTCAAGGAAAAACTTGCCTTTTTTACTTTCTGAGAAATTTCAAGGACATTGGGAGTTGGGAGCGTTTATTCCCTTCTATGAACTGATGGGGAAAAAATAATCTACTCCTTCCTCGCCCTGCTCCCGGGTCGGCCAGAGCTGGTCTTGAAGGCAGTCTGTGGAGTGAAAATCCTTGAGTTGTCTCTAAAAGTTGTTTTCTTTTCTCTTCCCTGCTCTCTGGCCTTCCTGGCAGGACTGATCATACAACTATCCCAAGGTGAATTATTCTGAAAGATTCCACATAAGAACAGTACAAAGCTCCCTTTGACCCCTTTTCTGGAACACACTTCATATTATATTCCTTCCGCATATTTTCGGTGCAGATTAAACTTCTTTTTGTTTCCAGCGGAGTAGGAAAACAGCCTGCTGTTCTAATTCTAAAGAATAGGATATATGGAGCCCTGATCCAATTCCTCTCGTCCTAGTCTCCAAAGTAAACCGTGCCAGATACTTTAACCTGTCATCAATAAGCCCTATTTATTATCTGCATTTAAATAGTGTCTTTTACCCCTGGAACTCAAAATGCTTTCAGATGTAATTGAGCCTGATCTCCCTGGTTGCTGAGCCATTAAGAAACCATTAGTGCGTTCCTGTTACAGGCCACTTAAATGGCCCCCTAGTGGCCCGAGGATGAATGCGCTTCTCCAGGTGCCTCTCCCCCACTAAGGGTAGGCAGGAACCAGAGATTCAAGGTAGCTGGGGACAGAATGGACCCCCAAATCCATCTTTTGTGACCGCCCTCATGGACCCTAGCACCTCCTCCACAACATCACGTGGAGCACTCCCCAGTGTCAGTTTTAAGTGACCTTCTGTGATGATGTGCCTATTGTCAGCTCCCCAAGGAAGCCCTTTCAGGCTATGACATGTTCTAACCAAATCTAACAGTAAGCAACAACCACACTCTTAGTATGTGCTAGGCACTCTGTCAAGACCTACATTCTTTGTCTTGTTTATTGTCTTACAGCAGTTTGTCAGGTGGTTGCTGTTTATCTTCATTTTGTAGAAGAAACTGCTTCAAAAAGGTCCAGGTCTGCCAGCTGTTAGCTCACGCTTGTAATCCTAGCTACTAGGAAGGCTAGATTGGGAGGATTGTGATTTGAGGCCAGCCCAGGCAAATAGTTTGTGAGACTCCCCACACCTCCAAAATAACCAGAGCCAAATGGACTGGAGGTGTAGCTCAAGCAGTAGAGCACCTGCTTTGCAAGTGTGAAGCCCTAAGCTCAAACCCCAGACCCACCAAAAAACCCCAAAGGTTAAGATCACATAGTCAGAATTCAAACCCAAGTCTTCTGACTCCAGGGCATCAGGCTCTTGCTCCCTGCTCTACTCTGTCTCATAGGCACAGGCTGAACCTTGTCTCTGCAGTGGGGTGCCACCCTGGTCTCCCTCGAGATGGAGACACTCCTTCCTTTAGGTGCCAGTATTGGCAATTTATGGTTGACAGCTGTGACTGTCTCTGGGGACTATCCTCAGGCACCAAAGAAGGCTGCCTCTCTTTCCTGATCTATAAGACCAGTAAGAAGAGCCAAGTTGCAATAAAGCCCAGCTGGAGATGTGCAGGAAGAAGGTTGTACCCCGAAGGAGCTGTGGAAGGAGCCAGCGGGTACTAGCAGGAGGAGGAGCAGATGCAGATACATGTTACCATGTGTGGGGTGGGGGGAGGGGGGAGGAGGGAGCATGAACCTGAAGTTGAGTTGGGGAGTCTTTATGGCTATGAAAGTACTCCCTTGGGCAGAATTTGCTACCACAGGATCCCGGGAGGCTGGAGAAAGGCAATGGCTAACCAAGGCGAGATGGAAATGCCAGAGGACTGCGGAAGAAGCTCAAAGTACGCATGCTCGAGTGGGTGGGCATTCCGTGTACAGTCAGGAACCACTTTGGTTCTGCAGGGAGGCCCAGACCATACTCTGGTACCAAAGCAACAATGAGTGGCCAGAGGGATGGGCACCAGCATCACTATTCTCTGGAAGTCAGCAAGAGGCCCCTCCAGAACTGGCTCCCTGCTATCAGTGGGGACGACAGGACCATAAAATAATAGAAACTGGTTGTTGACACAGCTATCATAATGAGTAGCAAGCGGGACTCCTGGCGAGTACAGCTATGGACATGGTTAGTGACTGCACCCCTGGAGCAAGCTAGCTGGGCCGCCGGGAATGGCATGGCTCAGCTAGACCAGTGAGCAAAACTTCTGGCTTCAGGATCACTTTACACTCCTAAAAATTGTACAACTGTCTGTAGTACAGTACTTTCCAGGCATGGTGACGCATGCCTGTAGTCTTGGCTACTACAGAGGTTAAAGTAGGAGAATCACTTGAGCCCAGTGTGGGCAACATAGTGAGGCCCTGTCACAAACAAACACACACAAATTAAGGTCTACAAAGTAGCTCTCGTTTGTGTGGGTTACAGCTATTGGTTCTTGCCACATTAGAAATAAGACGGAGAAATTTAAAAAATTTTAATCCATTTAAAATAATAAGCCCATTACATGTTAACAGATCACATTTTTTATTAAAAAATAAGTATATTTTCTGAAAATAAATAGTGAGAAGAGTGGTCTAGTTTAATTTTTTTTTTCTGAGACAGGGTCTCACTATGTAGTCCACAGTGGCCTAGAACTTGCCATGTAGCTCAGGCTAGCCTGGAACTTGAACTTGAACTCCTGCCTCTTCCCATGTGCTGGGATTACAGATATGAACCGCAATGCTCAGCTCAGTTTCATGGTTTTTTTTTTTTGCAAATCTCTTGAATGTAGTTTTCTGGGAGACAGCTGGATTCTCACGTCTGCTTCCGCATTCAGTCGTTTGGCAATATGTTTTTGGTTAAAATATATATGAAGAAAATCTACCTTACAGAATGCAGTCAGAAAGAAAGGATATATTTTAAGAGCTTTTTCAGATAATTGTGGTTACTTTTCTTTGATATTACAC